GTGTGTGTGTGTGTGTGTGTATTTATCTAAGCGTAAATTCCTCGCCGCTTCCGGTAAGCTTCGATGCTCGGTGCACACTATACGTTTTACATGGGCATTCGTATCTCGTGGCTGGTTCAATCGCCTCGCTTTATGTCTGCTTGATATTCGTTCCCGCGGCGAGTCGTTCGTTTTTCGTTCACACACAGTCTGGCTGTCCACCAGCCCCGACCGAGAGATGCTTGATATCTTTGACACGTTGAAACGAGAATAAGTGCCGGTTGCCAGAGCAGTGTACGGCGTGCACTCGTGTATACATTTAATAGGAAACAATACCGCGTGAACCGAAGGGCCAAAGATTATTGCTCCGGGTAATAAAGTTCCAGATACGCGGGATACGTTGGCGATACGTTATTACAAGGTTGCTACAATGTGGCCAGTTTTATGTCGGCGATATCGTGCGTAATTATTGTCTATAGCCGGCGCGATGCCTATTAACATTCTGACATAATGGCACGCTACGTGCACGTTCGCTCTCGCATCTTCGTTTTAATCCTCGGCACCGGTTTACCCGCTCGCTCTTATCTTCGGCCGCTGGAACAGCCGCTTATAAAAATAGACACCACCGTGACGGCCAGCCTGCGCATGCTCCGACCATCGTTCCTTTTTCTTTTTTCTTTTTCTGCGGAAACTCCCGTCATTTCGAAAAAGAACCCCCCGTTCCCCCGTCTCCTCCCCTCCCCCCTCTCCTTGAGATTAACTCCGGGGAAATAGTCTCCGCGTTAAGGGATTCCCCCACAGGTTGTTTTCTTCGACGATAACGGGTGTTATTTATATTTAGTGCTGGTATTTATATTTAGGTAGATTAACCGTCATTTCCTCGATTACTCCTTAGTCGGAGCGCGAGCATCCTCTTTTTTGGCAATTGAAGCTTTAGTAATTGAAGTTTCGCAGCCCGTGGATGTTGAAATTAACGCGAACGGGCGAAAGATTGGTACAGTTGGAAGGGAACACTGTTCTTACCTTGTGCATCGCCGTTTCCATCAAGCCAGTGTCTGGCCAGTCGCACATTTTCGACGGCGAAATGTAATTTAAATGCAAAGTCGCAAACGGAACGAGCCAGCGTATCGTAATCTCATGCTTTATTGCTGTCGCGTTTCATCATTACTCCGCCATCGGTTCATACGTTCGCGCGTCGTTAGTGCAAACGTTGATACAAACGTGCAAAAATGTACGCGACGTTAATGAACTGTACGTCCGGGCTGCGAATGTCGATTAATTAACATAGCAATTTAGGAAAGAAAATAGAAGCGAGAGAGGGAGGGGGGGGGGGGACAGAATCAAGTTGTAATCCTGTCTGCCTGACAAACCTGACGTCGGCCGAGATTTATTTTTATTAAATAAATTCGCTCGCGCGTCATTCCCGAGTCTCGTACATTTTTAAGCTAATGCGATCGAAGTAACAGCCATAAACGTGTCTTATTTATCTTGGCAACTGCTACTGGATCTCCGTGTTTATCACACAAGAGCGAGTCTTGTTCGTAACAACAAGATTGCACCGCCGCGGATTACTTGGTAGCAAATTAGCCACGAGGAACTACCGTCCGTCGCTACGGATTGTTGTTTATGCCACACGTTAACATCGACCGAGTGTTTAAAACGGCGAGGCATGTTCATCGGTTTCTCCTCCTCTCATTTCCTTTTCCTTTCAGGAGAATCGCGTACGCGGCTAATGTAATAACTCATAAAAGCCTGCCAAGCGTATCGCGAAGCAATATTGCCACGTAAATTCGAAAATTTCCCGCACATTTATTACTATCATTGTTCATTTGCAACGTCTCCAATCCCGAAAGGAGGATCCAGTTAAAAAAATTAAAACTCGAACTCGTTCGTTTATTTAACAGAGTGTAACTTGATTACAAGCTTACCGTTCCAAAAAAAAAAAAAAAAAAAAAATACCCTCGCTACGTTCAATTAACACTACAGCAGATATGTATCATTCGATATATATCTAATTCTACCCGTCAGTTTGAAAAATGTACCTTTACATGTAGTGTTTTTTTTTTTTTTTTTTTTTTTTTTTTTTTTTTTTTTTTTTTTTTTTTTGATAAAGATTATAAATGAAAAAAAGAAACAGCATTTAACGTATTGAATTATTTACTTCTAGTTACATGAAACATATCAGAAACAGATTTCTTAATTGAGGTATTTTATGTTGATATATTTGTTTGTTTGAAAATATCACTGATATACTTTGATATATTCTTTTAAAAATATTGTTGACGCATTTCATGTGAAAAACAATTTTTCTTTATAATCTTACGTATACTTTTTGTGGATGAATCTTTGGAACATAACACTTACACAAGTAAAATTCGTTCTATTCTTGTTGTGCAATTCAACTTGACAGACAGCATTTGCACACATTAGAAGTTTTTTTTTTTTTTTTTTTTTTTAATTTTTCTGGAGTGTAGTCTATTGAACTACGTGCCTGTGTTTCTGTGTAGACATTTTCCCATTTCAATTTTCGTATTTGCTTGCCTTTCGCAACAGCTCTTCCGCCAATTGGAACAGGAATTGTTTTGTAGCTATATTTGTATCTGTTGTGCTCTTATATAGTACTCGTGAGTTGATTACTGTCATATCATTGAAAATATTGTAAAAAGCTTGTAGCAGCAATGTCCAAGATCCCTATTTTTGCTACAGGCTTACATCATATCAAATATATAAATATTTTTGTGACAAATAACGACGAATCTTTGTACAAATGAATAAAAAAAAAAGAAAAAGAAATTGATGCATATTTTTTCATTTGAAACTCATTTTATGGCTCGTTTCAATGATCCGTCAGAATGAGTACATTTGGTATATTTCGATACACGTTGGATGGATGATCAATAATGAAAACATTCGAAAGTGAACAGAGAGATGCAACCGTCCATTACATCTGATTGAAATCCATCAAAATAAACTCGCAGAGCATGATGTCGAGGATAATCTTAAAGAAGAATATCTGAAATATCATTTCGATGGTGCGTTCGGTATAGTTTCTAGTTTGCAAATCGAGCAAAGAGTGAACGCGGACGATCGCCATAGGAGTAAACTAGGAATTGCAAGTTTGCAGAGACCGCGCGCGGCCGATATCGCGCGTTTACGAGGGCATTAGTGGACCTATTCCTGGCCAGTTTCTCGATCTGTTTAATTTCCCAACCTAGGCTAGCTTCCACCCTCTGAACGCGTCGCTGCCCCCGCTCTGCTCGCGTTAAGTGCCATGTGCACACGGTCGCGCTATCACGGCCACAATAATGGCCCGTACTTTACGATCCACTGTGTGGACAGTATCGCCGTGGTGTGGCAGCGCGCGCGCGCGAGAGAGAGAGAGAGAGAGAGAGGAGGCGGCTCCCCGCGACAAGATTCCATTTAAGTGTTCCGCAAATACTGTTACCGCGAGAGAGGGAACAATCCGCCCGCTTTCGCGGCTACCCGTTTGATAATACGTTCCGTAACCCAGGATCCGATGGCGTCATTCCCTATCGGTTTTATATCGAACGCAGAGGGAAAAGGCGCGTTTTCGCCCGATGCTTCCAACCTGTCTTCTCCGTAAACACCAGGCTCTCTCTCTCTCTCTGTCTGTCTCTCGGGGTGTAACCGCGCGTGACCACCGCTTTTCGCCAGATTTTTATCACGGCCGGGATTTATTAGCCCCGGATCCCTTTATCGTTCTCCGGTGTAACTCGTAGGAATTCCACTTCTTTTCTCTCCTTTCCTTTCGGGAGAATAGGATCAAGATAAACGAATTACTCCGGGCTGCATGGAAAAGTTTCGGGGCGTGGGTTCTTTGGAAAATTCGTAGCGAAAGTTAAGCCTTTATTATTTGCCGGAGTACCGAGTCAAGTACCGCTTTAGATAAAGCGATGTAGCGAAACGATCGTCCCGTTCAAATGGTATTTGTATTGGCATAAATTTGATTGTATTTTTCTAACTAATCTAATGTGATATATGTGTCTCAGTTTAAAGCAATCAAGTGCAATATAACTTTCGCGAAAATTAATTTCCAAACTTTCGCAAGAAGTCTAGTTTACGTGAGTTGTTTTCGAGTGTTAATTGACTCACGATTGCCTCGAGAATTCCTTCCTTTGAAATTCGTTTATTTATTCTTCTTACTTGCTGTTATAATTTTCACTGTCTGTTACGTTAACACAACACCAAATCGACGTTCATTATAATTGCCGGCATTTATAAAAGAGGGAAGAAATCTGATCTGTTGGCTAGATTTAAATAAAGGAAAGTAGGGTAAAACCATTGTTTTTCTAAAACGAGAGATATGTAATATGTGGCATCATAAAACAGTTATTGCTCCATACAGATAGAGTTAAAAATTTAGACTCGAGAAGTTTCAATGTTTGGTGATTTAAATGATTGTTTTTTAATATTCTCATATTCAGGAATCCATTCAGATATATAGTAATATTTGTATTCTATAATCATTAGAGATTTGACTCTCTTCAGTATTTTGACCCATTCCAGATCCAAAGAACAATGGGTTCAATGCATTATGTGTTATGGATAGGCACATGTGATATGTACAAGTATCGAGGAGCACGACGAATATTTTATTTGTGACTTTCATGTTATGTTGAAATAGTTCAAATTTTTTATAAATACAGTAAACGTTCCTAAACTGGTAGTTAACATACTTTTTCATAAGACAGACCAAATAGAATACCTTTATATTTATTAAAATTGTTTTTACCATTTTGTTCACCAATAAAGATAACAATTTTACAGCTGTACTGCATTTTATATGTCTTTTAATAGGCATCCATCCCTATGGGG